CTGGCTGGCATCTGGTGGGTACCCTTCTGGGATGAAGCTACCAGGGGAAGGAACAGGCAGTAATATTTGCTGTTCTGCAGCCCCTGCTGGTGATTCCCAGGCAAGCAGGGTCCTGAGTGGACCTCCAGCACACTCCCGCAGATCTGTAGCAGAGAGGCCTGACTGTTAGAAGGAAAACAAACAAACAGAAAGAAACTGTTTCAACATCAACAGAAAGGATGTCCACTCAGAAGCCCCATCCAAACGTCACCAACTTCAAAGACCAGAGGCAGATAAATCCATGAAGATGGGAAGAAACCAGCACAAAAATGCTGAAAATTTCAAAAACCAGAATGTCTCTTCTCCTCCAAGGGATTGCAACTCCTTACCAGCAAGAGAACAAAACTGGATGGAGTGTTTGACCAATTGACAGAGCAAGCTTCATAAGGTGGGTAATAACAAACTTCCCTAAGCTAAAGCAGCATGTTCTAACCCAATGCAAGAAACCAAGAATTTTGTGAACTTTACATGTTTCAATAGCTGAATCAATCAAACAAAAGAAAGAATATCAGACACTGAAGATCAAATCAATGAAATAAATCAAGAAGACAAGGTTATAGAAAAAAACTCAAAAGAAATGAACAAAGCCATAAAGAAATATGGAACTATGTGAAAAGACCAAATCTATGTTTAATCAATGGACCTGAAAGTGATGGGGAGAATAAAATCAAGTTGGAAGACACTCTTCGGGACATTATACAGGAAAACTTCCCCAACGCAGAAAAGGAGGCCAACATTCAAATCCAGGAAACACAGAGAACCCCACAAAGATTCTCCTTGAGAAGAGCAACCCCAAGACACATAATCATCAAATTTACCAAGAGTGAAATAAAGGAAAAATGCTAAAGACAGTTAGAGAGAAAGGTTGGATTACTCACAAAGGGAAGCCCATCAGACTCACAGCGTATCTCTTTGCAGAAACTCTACAAGCCAGAAGAGGGTGGGGGCCAATATTCAATATTCTTAAACAAAAGAATTTTCAACACTGAATTTCATATCCAGCCAAACAAAGCTTCATCCACAAAGGAGAAAAAGATCTTTTATGGACAAGAAACTGCTGAGAGATTTTGTCACCACCAGGCCTACCTAACAATAGCTCTTGAAGGAAGCATTAAACATGGAAAGGACCAATCAGTACCAGCCACTGCTAAAACATAGCAAATTGTAAAGACCATCAACACTATGAAGAAACTACATCAACTAACAGGCAAAACAACCAGCTAAAATCATAATGGCATGATCAAATTTACACATAACAATATTTACCTTAAATGTAAATGGGCTAAATGCCCCAATTAAAAGACACGGACTGGCAAATTGAATAAAGAGTCAAGACCCATTGGTGTGCTGTATTCAGGAGACCCATCTCACATGTAAAGACACACATAGGCTCAAAATAAAGGGATGGAGGAAGATTTACAATCCAATGGAGAGAAAAAAAAAAAAAGAAGAGCAGGGTTGCAATCCTTGTCTCTGATAAAATGGACTTTAAAACAACAAAGATCAAAACAAAGAAGAACATTATATAATAGTAAAGGTATCAATGCAATAGGAAGAGCTAACTATTCTAAAAATATATGCACCCAATACAGGAGCACTAAGATACATAAAACAAGTTATTAATGACCTACAAAGATAATTGACTACCACACAATAATAGTGGGAGATTTTAATACTCCACTGTCAATATTAGAGCAATGAGACAGAAAATTAACAAGGATATCCAGGAACTGAACTCTGATCTGGGAATAGTGTTGAATCTATAAATTACTTTGGGCAGTATGGCCATTTCCATGATATTGATTCTTCCTAACCATGAACATGGAATTTTTTAAAATCTCTTTGTGTCCTCTCTTATTTCCTTGAATAGTTCCTCTTTTATTTCCTTTGTAGTTCTCCTTGAAGAGTTCCTTCATGTCCTTTGTTAGCTGTATTCCTAGGTATTTTATTCTCTGCAGCAATTGTGACTGGGAATTCGCTCATGATTTGACTCTCTGTTTGTCTGTTACTGGTGTATAGGAATATACTTGTGATTTCTGCATATTGGTTTTGTATCCTGAGACTTTATTGAAGTTGCTTATCAGATTAAGGAGGTTATGGGCTGAAACAATAAGGTCTTCTAAATATACGATCATGTCATCTGCCAATAGAGACAATTTGACTTTCTCTTTTTCTAATTGAATACTCTTTATTTCTTTTTCTCGCCTGATTGCTCTGGCTAGAACTTCCAATTCTATGTTGAATATGAATGGTGAGAGAGGGCACCCATGTCTAGTGCCAGTTTTCAAAGGGAATGCTTCCAGTTTTTGCCCATTCTATATGATATTGTCTGTCATTTTGTCATAGATAGCTTTTATTATTTTGAGATAAGTTCTGTCAATACCTAGTTTATTGAGAGTTTTTAGCATAAAAAGCTGTTGAATTTTGCCAAAGGCTTTCTCTGCATCTATTGAGACAATCATGTGGTTTTTGTCTTTGGTTCTGTTTCTTTGATGGATTACATTAATAGATTTGCACATGTTGAACCAGGATTGCATCCCCAGGATGAGGCCTACTTGATTGTGAGGAATAAGCTTTTTGATATGCTGTTGCATTTGGTTTGCCAATATTTTATTGAAGATTTTTGCATCAATGTTCATCGTGGATATTGGCCTGAAATTTACTTTTTTAGTTATGTCCCTGCTGGTTTTCGTATTAGGATGCTGTTGGTCTCATATAATGAATTAGGGACGGTTCCCTCTTTTTGTACTGTTTGAAGTTGTTTCAGAATGAATGGTACCAGCTCTTCTTTGTAAGTCTGATAGAATTCAGCTATGAACCCATGTGGACCTGGACTTTTCTTGGTTGGTAGGCAATTAACTGCTGCCTCAACTTCAGACCTCTTTATTAGTATACTCAGGGATTCAACTTCTTCTGGGTTTAGACTTGGAGGGCATAAGTGTCCAGGAATTTATCAATTTCTTCTAGATTTACTGGTTTATGTGTATTGAGTTGTTTGTAGTAATCTCTGATGGTAGTTTGTATTTCTGTGGAACTCCTTTATCATTTTTTATTGCATCTATTCAATTTTTCTCTCTTCTCTTTTTTTGTTAGTCTGGCTAGCAGTCTATCTATTTTGTTGATCCTTTCAAAAAATAGCTCCTAGATTTACTGATTTTTTAAAGGGTGTTTTCTGTCTCTATCTCCTTCAGTTCTGCTCTGATCTTAGTTATTTCTTGTTTTCTGCTAGCTTTTGAATTTGTTTGATCTTCCTCCTCTAGTTCTTTTGATTTTGATAATAGAGTGTTGATTTTCACTCTTTTCTTGCTTCTCATGTGGGTATTTAGTAATTTTCCTCTAGACACTGCTTTAAATGTGTCCCATAAATCCTGGTACATTTTGTCTTCATTCTCATTGGTTTTGAAGAACATCTTTATTTCTGCTTTCATTTCGTTATTTATCCAGTAGTCATTCAGGAGCAGGTTGTTCAGTTTCCATGTAATTGTTCAGTTTTATGAGGTTCTTAGTCCTGAGTTCTAATCTGATTGCACTGTGGTCTGACAGACTGGTTGTTTATGTTCTTTTGCATTTGCTGAGAAGTGATTTACTTCCAATTATGTTGTCAATTTTAGAGTCAGTGCAATGTAGTGTTGAGAAGGATGTGTATTCTGTGGTTTTGGGGTGTAGAGTTCTGTAGATGTCTATTAGGTCTGCTTGGTTCAGATCTGCGTTCAAGTCCTGGATATTCTCGTTAATTTTCTGTCTCATTGATCTATCTGACAGTGGAGTGTTAAAGTCTCCCTATTATTGTGTGGGAGTCTAAGTCTCTTTATAGGTCATTAAGAACTTGCTTTATGCATCTGGGTGCTCCCGTATTGGGTGCATATGTTTGTAGGATAGTTAGCTCTTCTTGTTGCATTGATCCCTTTACCATTATGTAATGCCTTTCTTTGTCTCTTTTGAGCTTTTTTGATTTAAAGTCCATTTTATCAGAGACTATGAATGCAACAACTGCTTTTTTCTTCCACTCCATTTGCTTGGTAAATCTTTCTCCATCCCTTAATTTTGAGTCTATGAGTGTTTTTGCATGTGGGATGGGTCTCCTAAATACAGTACGCCAATGGGTCTTCGACTTTTTATTCAATTTACCAGTCTGTGTCTTTTGATTGGGGCATTTAGGCCCCAATTTAAGGTTAATATTGTTTTGTGTGAAGTTTTCATACTAGCTCATTGTTTTGTCCATTAGTTGATGCAGTTTCTTTATTGTTTTGATGGTTGTTACCATTTGGTGCATTTCGTAGTGGCTGGTACTGGTTGTTCCTTTCCATGTTTAGTGCTTTCCTTCAGGAGCTCTTTTAGGCAGGCCTTGTGGTAATGAAATCTCTCAGCAATCGCTGGTCCATCAAGGATTTTATTTCTCCTTCACTTATGAAGCTTAACTTGGCTGGATATGAAATTTTGGGTTGAAAGTTATTTTCTTTAAGGATGTTGAATATTGCCCCCCCCCACTCTTTTCTGGCTTGTAGGGTTTCTGCCAAGAGATCTGCTCTGTGTCTGATGGGCTTCCCTTTGTGGGTGACCAAACCTTTCTCTCTGGGTGTCCTTAGCATTTTTTGTTCATTTCAACCCTGGTGAATCTGACAATTATGTGTCTTGGGGTTGCTCTTCTTGGGGAGTATCTTTGTGGTGGTTTCTGTATTTCCTGGATTTGGATGTTGGCCTGCCTTGCTAGGTTGGGGAAGTTCTCCTGGATAATATCCTGAAGAGTGTTTTCCAGCTTGGATTAATTCTCCCCATCACATTCATGTACACCAATCAAACCTAGATTAGATCTTTTCACACAGTCCCATAATTCTTGGAGGCTTTGTCATTTCTTTTCACTCTTTTTTTTTTTAAATCTAATCTTGCCTTCTTGTTTTATTTCATTGAATTCATCTTCAATCTCTGATATCCTTTCTTCAGCCCTATAGCTTCAGCTATAGAAACTTGTGTATGCTCTCGACATTCTTGTGCTGTGTTTTTCAGCTCCATCTAGTTGTTTATATTCTTCTCTATACTGATTATTCTAGTTAGTATTTCATCTAACGTTTTCTCAAGGTTCTTAGTTTCTTTGCATTGGGTTAGAACATATTCCTTTAGCTCAGAGAAGTTTGTGATTACCCACCTTCTGAAGCATGCTTCTGTGAATTTGTCAAACTCATTCTCCATCCAGTTTTGTTCCCTTGCTGGTGATAAGTTGTGATTCCTTGGAGGGGGAGTGACATTCTGGTTTTTCGTGTTTTCATACTTTTTGCGTTGGTTTCTTCCAATCTTCATGAATTTATCTATCTTTGATCTTTGAAGTTGGTGACGTTCAGATGGGGTCTCTGGGTGGATGTACTTTTTGTTGATGTCAAGCCTATTTATTTCTGTTTTTTAGTTTTCCTTTCTACAAGTCAGGCCCCTCTGCTGCAGAATTGCTGGAGGTCCACTTCTGACTCTGCTTGCCTGGGAATCATATGCAGGGGCTGCAAAACAGCAAGGATTTCAGCCTGTTTTTTCTTCTGGTAGCTTTTTTTCCGGAAAGATACCTGTCAGATGTCAGCCAGAGCTTCCCTGTATGAGATGACTCTTTGGATATACAGGGTTCAGGGAGACACTTGAGGAGGCAGTCTGTCCGTTTTCATTGCTCAAGCTCCATGCTGGGAGCTCCATTGCTCCCTTCAGAGTTGCTGGACAGGGATGTTTAAGTCTGCTGCAGTGGATCTCACAACCACTCCTTTTCCTACCTGCTCTGTTCCAGCTAGGTGTGGCTTTATTTATAAGTTCCTGACAGCCTGCTGCCTTTTTTCAGAGATGCCCTGCCCAGCAAGGAGGGAGTCTAGTCACAGTCTGCCTGCAGAGGCATTCTTGAGCTCCTGCAGGCTCTCTCCAGCTGCTGTGTAAACTTCTTTGTGCTTTTGTTTACACAGGTAAGGTAGAGCTGCCTTTGTAATGTAAGATGCTTCTCCACCCACAGAGCTCAACAGTCCAGGATCAAACTCAAACTGTTGTGCTAGATGCAAAAATCTCAAGCCAGTGGGATTCAGTTTGCTGGTCTCCATGGGGGTGGGACCCACAGATCCAGATCACCTGGCTCCTCACTTTCAGCCCCCTTTCTCTCAGGGGTATGGGTGACTCTGTCTCTCAGGCACTCCAGGTGCCAGTCAAAACCACTGCTCAGATTTGCCCTGGAAACCTGTGGCACTTGTTGGCATGTGGGGTCTCTTGGTCTGTGGTCTGCAAAGACTGCAGGAGAAGTGCAGCATCTGAACAGGAGCTCTGGAGTGGCAGGAAACGTTCTTGATGGTTTCTGCTGTGTAGGAGGGAGTGTGCTCTGGCCCATTGCACTTCCTGGATGAGGCAGCATCCCACCCTGCCTCAGTTTGCCCTCCTTGGTCTACACCCACTGTCCAACCAGTCCCATTGAGATGAACCTGGTAGCCTACATTGGAAATGCAGATATCACTCACCTTCTATGTCACTCTTGCTGGGAACTGCGCTCCGGAGCAATTCCTATTTAGCTATCTTGGTGGAAGTCCGAGATTGACTTTTTCATTTGGAGCCAAATATCTCCCCTGTGTTCAAGTGAAATTGACACAAGTAAATTGTGTGCCATAATGACAACCACTCATAGTTCAATTTAATCAGATAAAAATGCAGAGAAATTTTCTGACCCAAATGACAAATAACTATGGGCAGCTTCTGATGAATTAAAATGGCAATATAAATAGACCCAAGAAATTGGACCTAGGAATATTTTCAGTGAGGTACATCTTAGGAAATTAGGAAATTCAGATGATTATAGAAAAAACAGAATGTCGAGCCTTGATGCTACCAGGTATTCACTTGCTTCATCCTATTTTTCTCTCTCGGTTTCTCTAAGTTTCTCTCTTTCTTGGTTTCTCTCTCTCTTATTTGGTCACTAATAAGTTTTCACACAATCTACGTAAGATAATGCTTTCCAAAAGTCTGCGTTGTCCTTCAGGTAATGCTCTACTTTTCTATTTTCAAAATTCTACCTCTCCTAATACAGCAGATTTAGGAAACGAATATGTGCCTTTTCCATTGCTTAAATGTCCACTCACTTTTTCATAAACTATTTCCTTACATTAACTGTTCTCTATTCTGTGATCCCCTCATAGCTAATGCCTATGAGCTGTTTATGGATTGTGTTTTTTCTTATATATAATCTTGGGTGGCCTGGTTAACCAGCTTTCCCCCAGGGGTGACATTTTACCTGCAGCCTAATTCACATCATATATGAGCCTTAGACACTGTCTGGTGCTCAAGCACTTTATTTTGCCAGTGCTCTTGCAAGACAGTTAATGGGAGCAGATTCCTGCTTTCTTCTCACTTTTTTTCTTGTCACAACACTTCCCAACTGACCCCTGATGCTCTGGCCTCTTCTTTTTCTTCCACATGTACCCGTGCTGTGGCCCAAGACCTTTCCATGGGGTTCGTTTAAGCAACTACAGGTTGCCATAGCAGCCTGGGGGCTCCACATTCTGGAAGTTAAGCAGGGACAGGCCTTGCTGTGGCTTGTATGAAGGACCACCCGGGGAGGCCAGGGGCTGGAGGCTTTTTGCTTCCAGCTCCCTTTCCACTTTCCCCTGATTAACACATTGCTTCTCAAACACCTGTTTACTTCCTGGCCTCCTGTTTCCCAACCACTTTCATCCCCACTCTGATCCTGAACCTCCCCATGGAATATCGACTAGGCAGCCCCCCAAACACCATAGCAGTCTGAGGTTCAGAGGGCGGTTGAGAACTGTTGCAACAAGGGGGAAAAACAAGAAAACTGCAGGATGCCAAAAGCCTGTAGGCCTTGTCTTTTAATAAGGTCTCCCATGCAAATGCCAGCCAGGCCTGACACTGCTTAGCTTCCAGGCTGGGGAACCCTCAGGCTGCCATGGCAACTGGGGCCTGCTGGAACAAATCCCCACAAGGAACTCACAGATCAAGGAGGGGCACAAATGGGAACAAAAGTGGGGGTCAGAGAGTTAGAGGGCACTTGGGAAGAGTTGCTAAATTTTGGGGAAAGTGTGAAGTGGCCTGAAGGCCAAAAAACTCTAGCCACAGGACTCAGGCAATCCCTTATCTAAGCTCCAGCCATGACCTACTCTTCACAGCTTCTGTGCTGGGGCACCTTGAAGCTGCTATCCTGACAGAAGTCACCCAGGATGGTCCCCAACAGGAAGATTCCAGTCCGTGTTTGGGGCACAGGTGGGCAGGAAATGGTGTACAGAGAGTCTGGGGGCAGTTAAGAAGTGTTACAACAAGTGGAATAAACTGGAAAAAGAGCAGAAAGCCAAAAGCCTCCAGTCTCAGGCTCCCCAGGTGGTACCCATCTAAGGCTGTCCACTGGTCTTAGCTTCTGAGCTGAGGCACCCTCAGGCTGCTATTGCTCACAAGGCCTGCCAGTACAGTCCCCAATAAAGAGGTCCTGAGCTCCGGGGAGAACTCCAGTGGCAGGAGGGCTGGACTTTGAACTTAGCCCCACTTGTCCTAAAGTTTCCCGACTGTCCCCTGACTCATTGTCACCCCTTTCCTCATTGACTACATCCCCCCTGAGGCCCAGGACCTCCCCATGTGGGTTTGTTTCAGCAGCCCTACAGTGCTATAGCAGCACACGGATGTCAAAGCCCTGAAGCTAAGCAAGGTCAGGCCTAGCTGGGTCTTAAATGTGTGGGACTGCATGCAAAGACTGGGAGCTGGAGGTTTTTGCCTTTTTGTCTTCTTCAAGCTTTCCCCCACTTGTCCCAATGCTTCCCAACAGTGCCTTGCATCTCTGTTTACCATTTCCCACTTGCCTATGCCCCTGCTGAGGCCTGGGAGCTCCTCATGTGTGTTTGTCTCGGCAGCCCACAGGTGCCATATCAGCCCTAGAGTGCCACAGCCCAAAAGCTAAACAGGGTTGGGCCTGGTTGTGGCTAGGATGGGGTACTGCCTGGGTAGATCGGGGCTGGAGGCTTTGGCTTTCTGATTCCTTCCCACGATCCACTGCTTGTCGCAACTCTTCCCAAGTGCTTCCTGACACTCTGGCCTTCTATTTTACACTCCTGCCTACCTGTGCACATGCCAAGGACCAGGACCTTTCCGTGGGGTGTCAAGGAAGTCCCCTGGCACCATAGCAGCCTGAGGGTGCCTCAGCCTGAGGGTGCCTCAGCCCGGAAGCTAAACAGGGTCAGGCTTAACTAGTGCTCAGATAAGGGACCACCTTGGGAGGCCAGGAGCTGGAGGCTTTTGTCTAACCCTTTTTTCTGTTTTACCCTGCTTTTCCCAATGCTTCCCAACTGCCCCCTGACACACTGACCCACCATTTCCACCCAACTGTGGCACCACAGCAGCCTGGACTTTCTTGTGGGAGTCTTTCAGCAGTGCTCAGGTGCCATAGCACCCTCAGGGGGCCTAGTGGGGAAGCTAAGGAGGGTCAAGTCTGGCTGGGTCTTGGATAGGTGGCTCCCATGGGAGACCCGGGGTTGGTGGTTTTTTCTATCCTACTCCCTATTAGCTCTCCCCTGCTTGTTACAATGCTTCCCAAATACCCCTGACTCTGGTCCTCTTTTTCATCAGCCTGTAAGTCCATCATGGACTAGGACCTTCTTGTAAGTGTTCATTTCTAGACACCAGGTGCCATAGAACCTTGATGATGCCCCAGCCTGGGAACAAAGCAGGGTTAAGCCTGGCTGAGGCTTGGATGGGGGACCTCCTTGGGGGAAAAGTTGCTGGAGGCTGTTGGCTTCTTGCTCCCTCCCAGTGTTTTGCTTGTTGCAGAGCTTCCCATCCACCTGCTAACTCTCTGACCTTCCCTTTCTAGCCTACATGCCGTCCCACGAGGCCAGGGACCTTATCGTTGGGGCTTCTCATGGCAGTTCCCAGGCACAATACCAGCCTGAGATTGCCCCATCTCAGCTAAACAGGATTGGGACTGCCTAGGCTTGAATGGTGGAACACCTGGGGAGATAAGTGCCTGGAAGCTTTTGACTTCACGCTTTCTTCCCATTTTTTTCAGCTTATCACAACACTT